TAACATACATATGCCCAAGTAAGTACCATACCTCTGCCCTTATAAGTACAAAATATATGTCCTTATACGTATCATACATATGCCCTTATAATTACAATACATATTCCATTAAAAGTACCATTCATGTGCCAATTTAAGTACCATACATATGCCTATATAAGTAGCATACATATTCCCATATACGTTCCATGCATAGTAGTCTCTAAGAATATGAGGAATATAGATATAATATAATAATTGCGCAATATATAATAATAATTGCGCCCCCTTTCTCCCCTGCCCCCTTGTTCTCCGTACTGGAACTAGTAAAGTGTATGGGAGAAAACTACCAATATTTCAGATTTTCCTTGACTTTTCGAAGGTTGTGTATAATGCTGCGTGTGGCACTACGGCGACCGAAACGCTGTTGCATGGAATTTCCAACAGTTCACTCCTCAAGCGGCACCCTTGTCCTTCCAACTCCTTCTTGTATTTAAGGTATCCCAGCTTCCATTCGCCCCTCAGCTCCAGCTTAAGTGTCTCAGCCTTTAAGGCCACAGCAAACTCGACACTCAATCCTGTGGAATACCTGATAACATGGTAAGTAAAATGTTCTAGCTTGATTTGAACTCTAAATCCCATAGGTACGCCAAGCACGTTACTGGCATTATTTAAGGTGCAGGTTAGACTAGATATGGTTCTTTGTTCCATTTTAGTAAATTTAGATTAAATGTTCAATTGTTTCAGGTGCGTGCAACTAGGGCTGGTAAGAACTATTTTCATGGTGCGTGAACACCAATACCTACACCTGGGATCAAGCAAACTGTCTGCTAGGCTTGGCAGGCGCTTCCAGCTAGTTAGTATCGAAGACAAGGACGACTTCATAGTTGCCACCAGAAGTGAGTTTTCTTAGTGTTTTAATGTACATTTATTTCAATAACTTATAAAACCTTGAATATAGTCATATTGCGGAGTAATATATAGTTTACTATGACCAGAATAGTTATAAAACTACGTAATATTTGTTTCGTTAGGTGGTATCCAGTTCAGCTGGACAAGCGGCGCAGAGCGAGGCCTCCACGACCTGGAGGTGGTCATCCTGCTACTGTCCTACACCAACTGCTCGCTCAATGGAGGGTCTGTATGACTTGGTTTTTCTTTATTCATCTGTCACACAGCTCAAATTGTCATAACATAAGTGTTGGGTAGATTTTTTCTAAGGACAAGTTACTCGTACGAGCTTTATCGGCTGTAAAGAGGTCTCTGAAAGTAGATTTTATAAAGATTTTTTTAAATCTTTTAAGGAATTAATAGTTCTGATGTACTCTCTCCTCCTGTCCCCAGGCTCGGGCGACCACAGCCAGACAACAGGGAAGTCTCGGTACTGAAGAACACCTGTAACTGCATAAAGTGGCACCACATTGCCCGTCACCCTGTAAAGTGTCATCTGTGACACCAGAATAAATGTTTTTGCCAGAAAAGACCTGTTTACCTGACTGAAGTTGTAAAATTTGTAACTTTTTAAACTAGCAGTCTTCTTGCATACCTTAGCCAGGACGTCTCTTAATGCTTAGTCTAGACTACTTGCCACTAACGACTTAGTGTCGTTAGGGTACTTTTAATAAATTCTAAACTCGTCGGTTAAGGAAACTATTAATTGCTTGCGACTTAAACGTCAATGGCATGACCATTGGAACAATGTAGGGCGGGGGGGGGGTGTGAACCATTATATGAACACCGGTAACGACCCCCCGCCCCCCTTCCTACAGACTATTCTAGGTGGTTAATTTTGAAACCTGGTTCCAAAAGTAACTATACTTTATTTTTGTAGCTTTTTTAAAGTTTTGTAACCTTTTTATACTTTGTACCTTTGTACTCATATTACAAATGTACCTTTTTTTACATTATATATATATATATATATATATATATATATATATATATATATATATATATATATATATATAATAAAAGTTTGGACCTCACTAGGTATCTACGATAAATTACTTTTGTTTATTTGGCACCAAATATCTGTAAAAGTAGAACGCTGGCTCCACTCTAGTGTTCTAAAAAAAATTTTTTTTATATATTCAGATTCTACTTGGCAACTAACAACGAAACTAAATGACTTAGTTGCCTATATCATCTCCAACTTTTATATTGCGACCCAGTATGGTTGCGTAATAAATCTTTCTTCTACATTGATAGCAGATTTAAACTTTTAGTTATAGGAAAATAAGATAACGGGGGGGGGGGGGGGGGGGGGGGGGGGGGGGGGGGGGGGGGGAAGAAGTTTTGCATGAAATTCTAGCAGGATGTTAAACTTTATTTATATAAGCGGTACAATGGGGGGGTTAACGGAACAAAGTTGAATTTACATTCTTGTAAAAAACATTAGCACGCATAGTTTCGGGCAAGTCCTTTAAACAGAATTTTTAGATAATTTAACAGTAAAATTGACAAATGTTCACAGGTGCATTGCCAGAAATTGACACTAGAGCAGATTAGAATAATACAATGAAACGAGGATTACTAGGTACATTAACTTTTCAGGGTTATACATTGGTTCACTGAAGCACAAAGAGGATCACGTAAAGGAATAATGCAGTAGAATGACTCAATACAGCAACCATGATATCTAAGATTACAATGGTAAGGTAATATGGCTTGGGTACAAATATTAGGGGATTGGGTATCACTAGATACAGTACAAAGATAAAGCACTAGGTAGAGAAATAGGAAGAAATTAAGTTTTATTTATATTTTTGAATAGGGCAAAAGTTGGACAGCTTTTCAAATCATTAGGGAGTGCAAGTAGACCTAGTCTATGGAACTCAAGTGTTTACACAAATTAAGTTTCATCGGAAACTCCCTCAATAGAAATCTTGGTGACTAGGATACTTTTGATATCGCTCGCCTTATGCGTTTTTGTTCTCGTATTGGCATCCTTGGTGATATTTAGCGCCCTCTGATTATTTTGCGCATTTGATGGTGCTACATAGCCTTCCCGGTTTGGTGCCTTCTTTTGATAATTACTTACTTTAGAGGGATGTACTTTTAACTTCGAACGAAACTGATGCACGAAAGTTTCGTGTTGAGCTTGTTCCCTGTCTTCGCTGGCCTTGAGTTCGTGCTAGTATTGGCATCCTTGGTGATATTTAGCGCCATCTGATTATTTCGTACTTTGAATGGTGCTACATGGCCTTCCCGGCTTCGTGCCTTAATTAATAATTAAAACCTGGAGAGGGAAAAAGTAATTGTGAACCAAGATTTTTACATTAGTACTGGATATCCTTTTTATTTGGTGGATTTCTACTTTAAAAATGGCAAAGATGCGAGTCTACTGTTGCCAGGCCATTTGTGGCAATCTATAATTCACGAGGCTGACGATACTTGAAACCTCGCCACCCACTAGAGGCCGTTGAGACGCCCTGGAGCAAGAGTACGAATGCTTCAGCTCACTTGTACGGGGAAAATAAGTCACCATTACTTCCTCTGGTCTCCTGCGTTGTTCCCTTATTGCTGACCATTAATCCCGGCAATCAATCTCTTGTTCCACTATTCCATCTCTTAGATTAGTTTTCTATCGGATGCTGATGACATGGTTTCGTGTAGCTAAAGAGTATTTACATCTGACCAGCTTTTCAGAGATCAACTGTACTGTATCTTCCACTTAATTTTGTTTGCGTGTCCATTTAGAATTATCTTGGATAATACGAGGCAGTAGGACAATGGTAGAACTCTATAGGAATAGTTAGAATGACCACAATGTCATTTACTGGTGTATCCATCTGGACTTCTGTATCAAATCATGGGAAACACTTGTACAAACAATTTATTCAAAGCTTCTAATCTTTACATTCATGAAGTTCGTAAGTTTGAGAGCCACATGACTATCAGGTCAGTATGATACTGAAGTTAGAGGACAAGATCAGACTTCAAGGTCCAGTGTAATGTACAAGAGTGGCCAAATGCTTGAAGCCAGACACTTCACCTCCATAGTGTTTAAACCATGTTTATTATATGATTAGTTCCTCTTAACGTTTCCTCCATGGGGACAGGAAACTAGCGGCACCGTTCCAGGTAAGCCTGACTTGCACACATGAATTTACTAGTCCTAATCCATCCACCAAAAGGGGGGCAAGCAAGTACCAAAGGCGGCACCAAGCCGGGAAGAGATGACAGCACTATGGATATTCAAGGAACGATGTCACTATAAGGACAAGTTGAGCGATATCAAAGGATCAGACTGCGACCATTTCATCTCTGCCCCCAGAAGGATAATTTTTACTTCAAGAATATTTAGCTTCACGAGCAGACGTATTCCGAATAAGATTTGGGTCTCTGTACAGATAATGTACCACAGCTGTTCGCTGCATGAAGAACACTAAAGAATGTTTGCGTACATCGCTTACACGACTGGACATCAGCCGCAGATCAGAGGACTTTAGAGGAAAGGCTACAGAAACTAAACGACACGTCCCTGGAAGAAAGTGAATTTTATAGGCGATTCACGTCAAAGAAATTGACAGGGTGGACAAACTGGCTAGCACGGGTGAAAGACGAACAAGGAGGCAGGTGTAAACAGTGCCCAAATGCCACAAAAAAGATTTTTTTATAGTTTAGTTAACAGTGCACTAGGCAGCGATGTGTAGAGGCAGATTCCATACACAATTTGAACTAGATATGATTGAGCCCAGTAGCCTCAAGAACCTGTACATTAGTCTTGACAATATCTACCTCGATGTAGTAAAGACTTCAAGTGTTGTATGAATAGGGAAGGAGCACGTCAGTCTAGTTGAGAAGTAGATTCTTGTGGTCTATAAACACCTCCAAACTATGCCTGATCATCCGGGTTGTGCGTTCAAGATAGCAGCATCACCTGACAGCTTAGTCAGAGACCGGGTTGCGAGAAAATTGTACCCAGTAGTACAAATCACGTTTAATTAAGGCAAGATAAGACCGCCGTTAGAGGTAGCAATTTAGTATTACCATGGCAAAGTTTAAGACAAGAATCAGCACAAGGTTTAAGTAAGTTTATTGAGAAAAACATTTCTAAAGAGCAGCTTAGGCTATTTCTACCCTCTTCTACGTCAGGTCTCTAAAGGGGCGCACAAATCCAGCGAGTACAAATCTACAAATTATAGAATCACGTGTAACATTACAGATTAACATGTATGCTGTGCTTAAGTGTTACACTCTTGGGGCAAAGTGCTTGTAGCTCTTAAAGAGCTGTGTCTTATCATACCATTATCACAGCACGAGGTGCAATCGGCAAGCGAGCTCTTAGATCGGAAGACCGAGTGTTGACGGGCAGTGCATCGTTTTGTTCCGTCGTCGTAGATGTCCAGTAGAGAGTCCTCGTCGTCTGGCTGTAGTTGGCCGGACCTGAGGACGAGAAGTTGACATTAGGAATGTCAGGTTTAGAATATTTAATATTGCACTGTTACCGTTGTGTAAATTCAGTTCATTAAGACTGTTAGACACTAGCGCCTACATGATGACTATGGGAGTGCACTTGTCACTATGGGTGCCACTACCGCAATATAAATTAGGAACAGACAAGAATGGGCTCTAAGACAGACATACTAAAGCTTTAGAGTTCATTAACAGTGATGGAATATTGTTAAAAAGAAAAAAAACTTTACGTCCTTAAGATTTACATATCCGGGTTCAGAAAATTTATCTAGTTACCCTGTTACTAGAATAAAATCTCTAGCCTTATTAATTTAAAGTAATTATAAGATGTTTTACACTTTGTTTTCTATTAGTAGTTTGATTATTGGTTTCCCAACGTTAAATGTACACAAGTTTGTAGTAAATACTTACCAGAGTTTTTAAGGTTGAAGGCCAGACATTAAGGACTAGGCTCTGGCATGATACAAGTGGGGTAGAGGAGCGTCACAGGCCAGTTTGGGTCAGCTGTAGTGCCACACTCAGCCTTAGCTGCACTTCATCCAACCTTAAGAGTCGTCAAAGCAAATCTGAAATATTGGTAGTTATATTAATATTTAATAAGTATTTAGACACTATAGTACACTTCATTACTTCCAGTACTAGGGGAACTAGGGGCCAGGGAGCGGGGGGGGGACGCAACAAGGGGCAGGTGGAGAAGGGGAGACGCAACAAGGGACAGGAGACAACAAGGGGGAAGGGAGGGGGACGCAACAAAGGGACAAGGGGAGGAGGGGGACGCAACAAGGGGGCAGGGAAGGAAGGGGGGAACCACCCATACAGCTCACCAAGAGACGAAGCTGGAACTGTATACCAAAAGTGAGGTAAAACACACTGACGTGCTTTTTGTCAGTTCTTCATTTCATACCCGGCAGCCCACCAAACCCGCCGCGGATTGGTAGACATTCACCCTAAAACTCACCCCCATTGGTTAACGTTTTGCGAGTCTGAAGTGTCCGTTAACAATGGCCAACAGCCACTCCTTCACTTCCACAAATACGAACGAGTCTAATGAACCAATAATGATCCCCAGCTTGAATGTGTTCAATTGTTAATTTCAAATTCTAATTCACAAACCAAATGCAACATTCTATTGTAAATGTTGCAACAGGTACAACAGAGCAACATCTGCAATAGAATCTACAGTGAATCGTCCGTCAGTCAAGAACTGTTAACGGCCGCTCCACAACTACAATATACAATAACACTAACAAACCCAAGAACCCAAAGTTCCTAAACACAACACTGGATGATATTAAATATTTTCTTTCAATTGCCTTAAAATATTGATCACTAATGACAAATTAAGTGACTATCTAAATATCAAAATGTGAACATTTATGCTGTATAACTATTTACCTCCAGGATGACGTTGTTCAGAATATTATTCTGCACAAGTGGCGTCCTCTACGATCACCACGTGACGCGGGACGGGTCCTCGGCGCTCCTCTCGTCCTCAGAACAAGACTTCCCGTCACCTTCCTCGCTCTTCCTGTCTCCGTCTCCCCAAGGTACTCCTCGAGCGCCTGGAGTATGTCTCAAGGATGTGTTATAGGATGTCAGGCGGTTCCCAGCCAGGGGGTACAGGGTACATGTGCGGGGTTATAGGGTATATGGGGGGTACAGGGTACATTTAACTGGTACAGGGTGCATATGGGGGGTACAGGGTACATGTGGAAGGGTATAGGGTACATGTGGAAGGGTATAGGGTACATGGGGGGTGTCACGACCCTTCGAGACTAAATAATGTTCTTCTCCCCACAGTGTAAAGAACAAATAAAAATCTGCCATGCTAATAGGTGTCTAGGGGTATAATTAATCACTGTATAAAAAACGGGAGAACAATATATTTTGCTAAGGGTGACAACTTAACAAAAATTAAATAAATAGTAGCCAGAAATATTTATCAGCATGTAATACTATAGAATGCAAGTAATCAGTTGAGACCTGAGCACTATCACCAGAATATGGAGTAAGCCATAAATACACTAAAATCGTCTATCCAGATAAATTAATATTTATATGGGCTTAAAATAACAAAAATCAAGAACTTAGCTTAAACACAACTGCATTCGACCGCAGCTGCCACTCAACTGCCCAGGACGTGGTCCGCAGGCCCAACCTCGACTAACCGTCTACCCAAACACCAATTAACGTTCGCATGAACATTGTGAACATTCTATTTACAAAGGTCAGCCCTAAACTCCAACATTATTAACTAAGAGTTGTAATTACCGGTCTCACATTCCTTGAAATATTACAGCTACCAAATATGGGAATAAATAAATATAAAACTATAGGCAATTGATTTGCCAACAATCGCCCTGGCCATTCCCAAATATTGTCAACCGCCCACACGGCTAATTTCACGTGACATCCACCACCAAAACAAACCTTACACACACTACCCAGCTATCTATGTTATATATATATAATGTATATATATCTATATACACAAATCTTATACAACTGACAGCAATATTTACTTAGAGAAAACAATAACATAATACGAGGTTCGGGAGAATTGGCAGAATCGTAATAAGATTCGTGACATAGGGGGTATATGGTACAGGGTACATATGGGGGGTACAGGGTACATGTAGGGGGTTGTAGGGTACATGTGGGAGGGTATAGGGTACATGGGGGGTACAGGGTACATGTGAGGGGTTACATGGTACATGTGGGGGTACAGGGTACAAGTGGGAGGGTATAGGGTACATGTGTGGGAGTACAGGATACATGTGGGGGGTACAGAGTACATGTTGGGGGTTATTGGGTACATGGAGGGGGTACAGGATACATGTGGGGGATATACGGAACATGTGGAAGGTTAAAGGGTACATGTGGGGGATATAGGGTAAAGGTGGGGGGTACTGGGTACATGTGGGAGGTACAGAGCACATGTGAAGGGGGTACAGGGTACATGTTGGGGATATAGGGTACATATGGGGGCACAGGGTACATGTTGGAGGTTCAGGGTACATGTGGGGATATAGGGTACATGTGGGAGGTTATAGGGTACATGTAGGGGGTACAGGGTACATGTGGGGGTACAGGGTACATGTGGGGGTACAGGGTACATGTGGGGGTTATAGGGTTCATGTGGGGGGGGTTATAGGGTACATTTAGGGGGGTACAGGGTACATGTGGGGGGTTATATGGTACATATAGGGGGTACAGGATACATGTAGGGGGTTATAATGTATATGTGGGGGTTATAAGTTACATGTGGGGGGTTACAGGGTAAATGTGGGGGGTTACAGGGTAAATGTGGGGGGACAGGGTACATGTGGGGGTACAGAGTATTATGTGGGGGGTTATATGGTACATTTGGGGGGTTATAGGGTACATGTGGGGGTACAGGGTACATGTGTAGAGTACAGGGTATATGTGGGAGGTTATAGGGTACAAATGGGTGGTACAGGGTACATGTGGGGGGTTACAGGGTACATGTGGGGGGTTACAGGGTACATGTGGGGGGTACAGGGTACATGTAGGGGGAGGTACAGGGTACATGTGGGGGTTATAGGGTACATGTGGGGGGATTATAGGGTACATGTGGGGGGTTATAGGGTACATGTGGGGGGTATAGGGTACATATGGGGGGTTATGGGGTAAATGTGGGGGGTACAGGGGTACATGTGGGGGATATAGGGTACATGTGGGGGGTACAGGATACATGTGGGGGGTTATATGGTATTTGTGGTGGGTACAGGGTATATGTAGTGGGTTATATTATTTATGTATGGGGCTATAGGGTACATTTGAAGGGGGTACAAGGTATATATGGGGGGGGTACAGGGTATATGTGGGGGTACAGGGTTATAGGGACCCAAATTCTGGCTCTCTGCACCTATTCGCAGTTTGAAATTCCACCTTTTTATACCAAAAATATGCCAATTACTGAAAGCGGCGGTGTGTCACATTTTGCCCAAACCCTCCTGCAGTTTTCAAAATATCCCAAACATCCCAAATTTGATACCTGAGCCATATTTTGGACCCAAATTCTGGCTCTCTGCACCTATTCGCAGTTTGAAATTCCGAATTTTTATAATAAAAATATGCCAATTACTGAAAGCGGCGGTGGGTCACATTTTGCCCAAACCCCCCTGCAGTTTTCAAAATATTCCAAACATCCCAAATTCGATACCTGAGCCATATTTTGGACCCAAATTCTGGCTTTTTGCACCTATTCGCAGTTTGAAATTCCGACTTTTTATACCAAAAATATGCCAATTACTGAAAGCGGCGGTGGGTCACATTTTGCCCAAACCCCCCTGTAGTTTTGAAAATATCCCAAACATCCCAAATTCGATACCTGAGCCATATTTTGGACCCAAACTCTGGCTATCTGCACGTTATCGCAGTTTCAAATTCCGACTTTTTATATCGAAAAAATGCCAATTACTTACTGAAAGCGGCGGTGGGTCATATTTTTCCCAAACCCCCCTGCAGTTTTCAAAATATCTGAAATGTCAGAAGTTTTACTCCTGACCGTGATTTTTGAGCCGAATTCTGACTCTCTGCACCTATTTTCATTTTCAAATTACGACCTTTTATACCGAAAATATGCTAATTACTGAACACGACGATGGGTCTAATTTTGCCCAAACCCCCCTGCAGTTTTCAAAATATTTGAAATGTCGGAAATTTGTCTCCTGAGTGAGATGTTTGAGCCGAATTTTGACTCTCTGCACCTATTTTCATTTTCTAATTACGACCTTTTATACCGAAAATATGCTAATTACTGAACACGTCGATGGGTCATATTTTACCCAAACCCCCCAACAGTTTACCTTCCACCGCGCTAACAGACCAAGAATAAACCTCCTCCCTCCCTCTGCCTCTTCACCTTCCTCGAGGCCCTTAGACCAAGGAGAACAAAATTACCCAAGCTGTGTGATAAAATTAAATCGATACGCATTTTCCTGTTCTATAAACACATTCGTTTATGCAAATCAAACTCAACATACATATTTTTTGGGGCTTTCATCACCACACGAAGCATAAACAACATTGTTATCGGCTTAATTTTACAACTTTGTAAAATAAAACAACTGTTTACGGTCGTAAATAAATATTTATGTTGAGTAAGTGGGCAGATAATTTGTCTGTGATGTAGCCCCCACTGTGGGTAGGGTGGAGGTGTGGCTACTCCACCCACTGTGGGTAGGGTGGAGGTGTGGCTACTCCACCCACTGTGGGTAGGGTGGAGGTGTGGCTACTCCACCCACTGTGGGTAGGGTGGAGGTGTGGCTACTCCACCCACTGTGGATAGAGTTGAGGTGTGGCTACTCCACCCACTGTGGGTAGGGTGGAGGTGTCGCTTCCCTACCCACTGTGGGTGAGGCAGGTGGCGAGTTGTAGTATACAGAAAGTGGTGGTTGATGTGTTTGAGCTGGTTAAAGGTTATGCGTGTTGGCTGTAATGATAACTGGTAGTGTTGATGATGGACTAGCTTATGGTGGCATTGATGACGGTAAGGTTATCCGCTCCTGTGATGACGTCTCTATTTTTTGTTGGCCTCCGCTGGGGAACACCCAACACCACCGCCTTCTTCAGGAGTCGTGGCCTTGCCTGGCCCGCGGTGTTAAGGTGCGCGCGCACACACACATGTACACACACACGCGCATATAAGCATACACGCACATCCACGCGCATATTTTGATCGTCAGACACGGAGGCAGTAAATTATACATTCTTCACCATGAAGGTATATCTAATGGCTGAAAGGACAGGCGTGTGAATGCCATGTATGTAGGAGGATGCAGGTTGTGTGCGCGCGACGACATATCCCACAGAATACATGTGTGTATGACATCCGGCAGAACAGGTCTATGAGGGGAAGAGTGGGTGGGTTACTTACTGGTGGTCGACGACGACGACACATACTCGTGTCTCGTGATGTGTCTAATGTCACACGATGGCCTCCTGGCTGTCACCTTGACCTCTCCCTGTCACCCGCTGGCCTCCAGGCTGTCACCCTGACCTCTTCCTGTCACCCGCTGGCCTCCAGGCTGTCACCCTGACCTCTCCCTGTCACCCGCTGGCCTCCAAGGCTGTCACCCTGACCTCTCCCACCCAGCCAGCCAGTCCGCCTGCTCCACCAGCCCTCTCGAATTTAGACATAAAATCCTTTAAGGCCAAAAAACTAACTTACTAAAAATCGCGCCGGCTTGCAAAAACTAACGTGATGCCCCGTTTTCTATCGGTGGGTCCTCTTGTTAGGTCAGGCCACTTTAATACACCAGTTTTGTGACGTTGTGAACAATGGAGAGGAAGGAACTGTGTGGGCTGCTGGTGGGCTTACTTGCCCCCGCCCCCCCCCCTCTCCCCCATCCCCAACTGGCATTGAGAGTTCCACTGTTATTTAACTGACCTATTTCCATTCCTGTACTTAATACCTCTTGCCAGGACCTTCCGTATCTTGGGTATCCTGATTCAATCTGTCGAGTTTCACGTTAATTCGGTAAATGACTTTTAAATGCAACGGTTTTTAACGGTCTTTAACCCATTGAATGTAATTTAGTAATACATTACTCATAATCGAAACGTTCTAATTTATGATAATATTTTCTCGTCGATTTTAAAAATGCATATTTCGAAATTGAGACGTTTCTACGAACTCAAGAGAACTCGATTACAAACTAAGAGATTGTGAAGTTCATATTGCATACTATGGTCTTAATTTCTCGCCAAGCCTTGACAAAGAGTACCCTTTATGTATGACAAACGCTTTGGCAATGTTTCCTGCACTATATGGCATAGCACCTAGCAACGCAATCCCCTTGATCACGTATGGTAAGTTAATAATAAGAGCAAAATATCAATCGAAGGTTTAAGGCAGACCATTCAGTCTCCCATCAAGTCTTGAGCCGTTTTTAATCAGACTTGACAAGTCTGACAAGCTTTCATAAGTTGATCTTAAGCTCTACAAGTTTCAGAAGGTTACTTGCCTCATTAGTTACTTTTTTTAGAGGCGGTCAGATGACTATATTTATGAACCGTTCAGGTACTAATGGTTTGTGTGTAAAATTATCATCAAACCTTGGGTTTCTGCTACTTCCTTATTACTCGCGTTGTGATTGGCTGGCTTCCAGTGATCACAGCGATGGTAGTGACGGTGGTGGTTGTAGTGCTATAGGGCTTGTGGTGATGGTGGTGGCTGTAGTGGCTGTAGTGATTGTGGTGGTGGTTGTAGTGCTAGAGTGGTGGTGGAATATCACTATTGCTGGCAAGAATGGATATTTTAGGTGCTTGTAGAACTCTCAGCCCCGCCTGTTCATTCGAGCTGTCGCAACGTCACAAAACTGAGGCACTAAATTGCACGAAACTACCCTACCAGGACACGAATAGGAGACAGACTAACAGGAGCAAGCGAGCGAGTCCTATAGAACGTGAGGGAGCATTCTCCCGTGGGGGTACTAGCTGTATTGCTCTGGATTTAGCCCTCGCTTATAGTACACGTCAATTCACAAGATTTCTGTTTATTCTATAGCATAGAGACCAAGACGGAATTACATAATTTAAACGGGACCTAACAAGGGTAAGATAGTTTTTTTTATTACCGCTCACAAGACGAGTAAGAAAATGCACAATAAACTATCGCTAATATGCCTTACGTTTGCCATAACGTGTGAAATGCTCAGCATGTCAACAGTGAGCAGTGCTCAGGAGAACATGCCAGTGCTCAGAACACACCAGTGTCCAGGAGAACACACCAGTTCCCAGGAGAACACACCAGTGCCCAGGAGAACACACCAGTTCCCAGGAGAACACACCAGTGCCCAGGAGAACATACCAGTGCCCAGGAGAACACGCCAGTGCCCAGGAGAACACACCAGTGCCCAGGAGAACACACCAGTGCCCAGGAGAACACACCAGTGCCCAGGAGAACACACCAGTGCTCAGGAGAACACACCAGTGCCCAGGAGAACACGCCATATGAGATATCGCCAGGACAATAAAACCAGATTAGGAAGATTGGAATATATTTTACAAAAGATATAGAACTTTCCGATGCATAACTCTCACTCTTTGGCACGGGATCCGGGGACTGCCTGTTGGGGGCCTCTCCGGGTCACCCTGGGGTATCCTCTGGGTATCCTGGGGGTATCCTAGGGTATCCTGGGGTATCCTGACGCAGGGCCTCACCCGCTGCCGGAGGACGTGACTCGCTGATGGACGTTAGATTCACACCCTGATGCCCAGGGCGGTGGCGTGGGCGCGGAAATGGGCGGCCTTTGCGGCGGCCACATTAGGGGTGTCCTGTGTCCTGCCGCTGACGCCAGCGGGGACGTCGTCCGCAAGCGGCCCCGTCCAGGGGGCTGGCTGATCGGGGGAAGCGGAGAAGCGGTGTACTGGGGCTGGCCGATGGACAGGTGCTTGGTGTCCAGCCTGGTGTCCAGCGAGGTGTCCAGCCTGGTGTCCAGGGGAGGAGGGAAAGGTGTTGGGGCCGGGCACGAACTGCTGGCTGCCGCCCAGGCTAGCGGAGAAGGAGTAGGCGTTGAAGGCGGGGGGTATGGGGGCAGCGGGGCGGGGCTGTTGGGACAGGTGTTGCAGGTGGGCGGGCACCTGCGTCAGCGGCCGCTGCTCGTAGATGTGGATGTCGGGGGCCAGAGCCGCCAGCTCCGCCAGGCGGTTGTATTCCCTGACGAAGGCGTCGCGCGCCGCCTGTACTTCGGGCGTGTCGCGAGGAAATCCTTGGCCGTGGGCGAGACCGAAGACTACACTCGCGATAACCTGCGACAACAACAGTTCGTTACCTGCTACTGCTCTTATACCTACTACTGCTGTTAATTAAACTAGACATACTGTTATTACTACTACTGCTACTATTATTACTAATATCATTACTACTACATCTTGTTTAACCAGAACCATAAAGTCTAAGCATAGTAGTAGGCATCCATCAGTCATCTATCAGTATTCTAATCATAGAGGGTTTTCAATTTATATCTAAAAATATCAGATTGATAACACTGCTGTAAATATGTTCAGTCCAGCCAGAATGGTACTGGTTGGTAAGAATAATGACTGGCCACTACACCCCTGTGGACTACACTTGCGAGATAGGCAGCTACGTAGGGATAACATTTACAAAAACTGTATTAAAAATGCGTGTAAAAATTATACGTTTTGATCCAAATTTATAATTTAACAAAAGCAAAAATTCAGCTAGAGGCAGACCCAGTTTTAGAAAACTAGACAGAGGACAAGCAATAGAGCACTAGAGGGGGGAACCCATCCAGCATTTGAATACTAGAAACTAGAAACGGGCTCAGTACTACTGCACAAGAGCATGACCAAACACTACAGGCGGCTCCAATACTACATCACTAGAAGCCCATTGATCAATGCATGCCCGGTACTAGAAGCAAACCTTAGTACTCTAATCAGGCGCACAACTAGAAGCCAAAAACACCTGACATGCACTAAAAACTTACTAGGAAAAGCATGATGTCGTGTGGTGTTGCCTGTGAGCGCCGGGGAGTGAGAATCATACCCTTGTGCTGCTCGGCTTGGCTTATATACGACTCTGGGGGAGGCGTCCTTGGAGTCGGCATGGGCCCCCAGGACGCTAAAGGTCGTTCAGGACGCGGTTGGCAGGGGGACGTAAGCACGCCACCTAGTGTATGCCGGCAGGTATTCTAGAGTCTCTAGGGGCATCACAGTGTCGCAGGTGATGTGTAGAACGGTCCAAGAAACAACGGTATTGTATACCAGACGATAGAAAGCCTGTCTGGTATTGTAGAGGGTGTTATGGCTCGGGAACCAGCCCGTTTTCGCGAGCATTCCAAGCGTCAAGAAACTATCCTACTAAATAAGTGCCCTGTCCTACCCATCAGAGGACCCACGGACAGTAAACGGGAGCAATATGTCAATTTCGGAAGCCGTTAACACTTTCTAGTGCAACAGCTTTTAGTCTTGGGTAAAGTAGAGTATACTGCAAAATGCGACGTGCTATTTCATTACGTTAGTATGAATGTCATTCGTCTTAGTTTTTAAAGGGGTTCCGGTGTCAAATACAAGATCCTTGATAGGTTAGTGGTGTGTTCTGGAAGGTCGTGCTGGGAATACTGGCCCGGAAACGGACCATCTCAACCTGCCCTCCTACGAAGAACGTCACTTTTCGATCGTATGCGTTACATACGATCGAAACCAGAATAAAAACAATATTGCAAACTTCATAAATATTTAGAATAATGTTCAATGGGAATTCAGATTTATGATCAAGACGAAAATAGGTCATGAAACCGATCCCCGAGGCACTCCTACGTTACATATTTGAGCGGTTGAGATCCTGGTACTGGGGAGGGGGGTGGGGGGAGTCCCCAGTGTCTTCTGGCCTTTAAGTACCTCACTGACCAGTTTAAGACGTTTACAGTTTCTTGTGACGAGTGGAAGCGACGTAGTAGTGTTACATGATCGTCAAACAAGTGCTGTACTCGGATCGGGAAAGACAATTATTGTAGTGTTGATGTGGTCAAAAAAGTCCTTTTGGAAAGTAGTATTGGTTCAAGTACCTTTATTGAGACAATGAAATGTATCTCAAACGGATATTGTAGCTTAGGACTATTTCTACCCTCCTCTACTTCAAGTCCCTCAGCGCACAAATCCAGTGAATTCAAATCCACAAATCACAGTACAAGAATCACATTTTACATTGCGGGTTAATATAGTAAACACAGCATGAAGTATTGGTCATATGAGATTAACCTTTAGATATCTAAGGGATCAGCAGGTCTATTGTAGACAATTTTATCTTATACTGTACAAACTGGTCTATAATTGGACAATATCTGCCGTGTATAACTGAAGGAGGAACGCAACATGTTCTGCTTCACACTACAGCACCAAGGGGCCAAGAGAGGGTTATGTACCATGCCTTGCCTTACACCAGGGGCCAAGAGAGAGTATGTATCATGCCTTACCTCACATCAGGGGCTAAAAGAGGGTATGTACCAAGCCCTGCCTTACACCAGGGGCCAAAAGAGGGTATGTACCATGCCTTGCCTCACACCAGGGGCCAAAAGAGGGTATGTACCATGCCTTGCCTTACACCAGGGGCCAAGATGGTCTACAGAACTGGAAAAAAAGCCTTCTTTTTGTCCCTAAACATTCCCACAACACTCTAGATAAACTGTGACATACCAGCGCGTCCTATCAAAGTTTGCTAACGTCAAAAAACTGTTGTACTAAAGTGCCCTTATCCTAACCTACCAGAGGACCCAGAACAGAAAACTGGACAGAATGTCAATTTCGCGAGCCGCTACCATTTTCTAGTACGACAAGTTTTGGCCTTAGTTTGAATATACGTCAAAATGCGACGTGGTATTAGGAAGACGGGTTGCAATGGTATGCAGGCGATGAGTCACAATAACGTGGCTGAAGTATGTTGACCAGACCACACACTAGAAGTTGAAGGGACGACGACGTTTCGGTCCGTCCTGGACCATTCTCACAATCGACTTGAGAATGGTCCAGGACGGACCGAAACGTCGTCGTCCCTTCAACTTCTAGTGTGTGGTCTGGTCATCAATGGTATGCAGCCTCGACTTCCCACGCTGCTCCCGCCTGGCCGCTCCGCCGCTATAACCTCCATCGTATATCTTTTGTTTTTTGTTTGGCCAAAACAATCATGTACTTGCCGATGCGCATTAATCAAAGTACTTCCTCAACGGTACTAGACCCTTGCCACGACTACGGTTTGTACCATCCAGCTGTGTGCCTGATGCTTACATCGCTGCTGTCAAACATCAACGACCCTATTTCCTCGTACGTAGACCTCTTCTTGATGTGGCTCCCGCCCGCCTCCCAGCGCCCAGGGCTCGACTGACCCAAGTTCACCCGCCAATCAGCACAGACGGGGCCCATTATTACTTACGAAAATTATAATACTTGCCTCCATATATTTAACACGAATGCTTTCAGAATTAAGACCCCAGGCGCCGCAGATCCAGCGACCAATCAGAATTAAGACCCCAGGCGCCGCAGATCCAGCGACCAATCAGAATTAAGACCCCAGGCGCCGCAGATCCAGCGACCAATCAGAATTAAGACCCCAGGCGCCGCAGATCCAGCGACCAATCCAGCGTAGGATAAAGAAATCGATGTTTGGGAATAATCAGGAGCTGCTTGGCATGAGCAAATGATGTTCCTAAATATGAAACGAGTTAATACTTGCTTCAAGAATAAGGCTTCTCTTAAGAGTTTCTACACAACCTCCATTAGTAGTTATTTTTCAACCTGTTCTCTTACAAAGAACGTCGTTTTTCTATCATATGCGTTACATAAGACCAAAAATTGTCGTACTACAAAATGGAAGCGTCTCACGAAATTGACGTACTATCCCCGTTTTCTGTTCTGAGTCCTCTGGTAGGTTAGGATAAGGGCACTGTAAAATGACCGTTTTCTTGACGTTGAGACACCATAGGAGGACGGGCTGGGTGATTAGTACACCAGTTTTTGGCCTTAGGGGGATTTATGTCAAAATATGACGTGCAAGATGTCAATGTCAAAAACGATCAGGAATCTGTACGTCAGTGGACTAACAGTTGAGAGGCGGGACCAAAGAGCCAGAGCTCAACCCCCGCAAGCACAACTAGGCGAGTATAACGAGGTGAGTACACACACACAACACACTCCCGGCAGATGGTTGGCCACATTGCTCAGGTCTCTTGAATTTCACAACAGTCATTAGAGTCAAGTGCTGCAGCTTAGGCAGCTCTGGAATCTCCATACCTTTTTCTCCAACAATGACACGTGACTGTACAGACATAATGGCTGCATCATTACCACAACCAATGACGGCACATATATTTAAGCCAGTTAACCCGAAGCTCTGCCTTACACTAGTGTATGGCAGTGTATCGTGATCCTTCGCGATCTTATCTGATGGATAAGATCGCGAAGGATAAGTCCTTCGCGATCTTATCCATCAAGTCTACTTATACAATTCCTTGGGATGGGAATGTTATATTCTTCCTTTTTGGCGATTCTCGTGCCTCTGGAAGCCCCCAAAAGCGTGTATAACGATCGTAAAGTGTCTAGCGGTCTCGACAAGGCTCGTGTTATCGTTTTCTGGCAAAGTTAATTACCCGTGTGTGTGGTCCTGTAGTCTACCGAGGACCTAACGCATATCTCGGAGGATTCAGATACTTGGTTCAAGAGGTTCCAGATACAAGGACCACGATAAAGACGCCGTTCCCGTGATAATGGATTAATCGGTACAAGTTTGTGGACCTTTGCGTGCCCTAACAACTCCCTACCCCCCTTCCTTCCCACTTACATCTATTTCAATTTCTTCTTTTCCATTTTTTCGTGTTTTCACGTTTATTGCTTTCAATTATGTTTATCACCTTCTTCCCTTTCCCCTCCTCTCTTCTGCACCTGTCTTCGTTCCCATGTTGCTGTCTTCCCAGTTCCCTGTCTTACTTTCCCTTTTCTCGTTGTTCCTCATTTCTTTCCAGTAACCTTTCCCATCCATTCTCTTCCTCATAACCTTGACCTTCACCCCCCCCCCTCCCCCTGATGTGAAAGGTCAGTGGGACTTCCTTGTCCATAACCTCCCTGACCACCCCCCTCCTCCCCCCCATCTTTCCCAACTATCTCTCACATGTTTCTCATCTATTTTCCCCTGTATTTTCCAAATACAGGGAAAACAGAAAGTCTCCCACCTACCCCCCTTTCCCTTTCACACGATTCTATGCCTCCTGTCTCGCCAGAAAGATCCGTCCAGGTGACGGGGCTGGACAGTCTTCCTGTCGACCTTCCCTAGACAGTAGAGCCTGAGGGAGATGTTGACGTCTCCTTGATGGCTCAGATGTCCTGCTTCAGTTCTTTTGGCGATCGCTTGAGGATTAATTTTTTGTTTTGTCTTGGATGTTACAGGAAGTGTGTGTGTGTGTGTGTGTGTGTGTGTGTGTGTGTGTGTGTGTGTGTGTGTGTGTGTGTGTAATGACCTAGTTGTGCTTGTGGGGGTTGAACTTTGGCCCTCTGGTCCCGCCTCTCAACTGTCAATCAACTGGTGTACAGATTCTGGAGCCCACTGGGCTCTTATCAAATCTACACTTGAAACTGTGTATGGAGTCAGCCTCCACCACATACAGACTGAGTATGGAGCCTGTCTCTCCCACAGCAGGGAGGGAGAGGCTACAATGTCGTGAGGTGAACGACAAAGGACGAGGAACGTACGAAGAGGCAAGGAAAGAACGACCAAGGGGTGACAAAGATATAACAAAAAAAGGTGTAGAGTCTCATGTATTTTCAAATCATATAAAGACCTTCAACACATTCCGCCTATTCATTATCACACGAGGACCCAGGACGACCAGTCCACTCCTCTCTAACACGACTCCTTCAGTCTTTCAACGACCGTAAGGAAGGGAGGACTAAGGAATATTAGATCACAAGAACAGTGTTAAGTGTTAAGGAAGTGACAAGCGCAGACCGTGTACTGTTGCTCTCTCCAGGTGTTCCTGAGGTCAGGCGAGGCAAGGGAGCGAGGCAAGGGAGCGAGGCAAGGGAGCGAGGCAAGGGAGCGAGGCAAGGGAGCGAGGCAAGGGGGCGAGGCAAGGGA